GTTGAGAAAGGTGAGAGGGGTAAAGTCTCCTTTGCAGTTGTCCAGGTGTGGAGTTTGGTGGTGAGTGGGGACTTGAATCTGGTCCTTTAATTGCTCTGCTCCTGCCTCCCCCTTTGCCGTGGTGGGTTGTACTGAACACTGGCTGGCCTGGTGGGAAGTGGGGTTTGGGGCTGGGACTCCCCATCTCCCATTCCCCAGCCTCAGCGGACCCATGGGTTGTGTGTTTCATGCACACAGAGCCTTTAATACCACGTTTGAAAACAGTTGCAGAAGGTTTGCTGTAATTAATTACATTTGACATACTTGGAATCCGGGCCTCCTGGATTCAGAATGCAAATTTATGCCCAGACAGATGTAAGGTAGCTTAGAGCCAAGAGCTCTGGCGTGTCCCAGCCGGGCCCCTTAGCGTTGCTTGCTACTCTGATGGGACTGTAACAGGAAGCCAGGGGTGGAGGCGGGACTCAGACTTGGGGATCTGGAACCCTGGAGCCCACAGGCTGCCCGTTCCCCTGGGTTTCGGCTTGGGAATTGTGGTGCGTGGTCTGAGCCCTGTTGTAACTCAGCCGTGGTCTGGGGTAACTACCTCTTCCCCTTTGGGCCTCAGTTTCCCCTGCCATACTTATACTATAAGGACATGAACTGGTGGCCTCAGAAAGCCTGTGCTGTTGGTTGGTTCAGCAGCAGGGGCACTTAATCAGCAGTGGAGCACTGGAGGATGGATTGGCTTTGAAAACACAAATAAGATGAGAAAGACTTGGGGAAGGTAAGCAGGATGCTATTGGAGCAGATGAGAGGTGTATAAGACCGGGCCGATGTCTGCCCTGAGATGTGGCTAATTTCCAGGGCTCCAGAGAACCATGGTTTGGCATCAGTCCCTCTTTTTTTCTTAAAGAAAAAAAAAAAGATTAATTTATTTATGCATACAAGATATAAGAGCTGGGGTACAGGCCAGAGGTGCAGGGTCAGTGAGAGGATTCACCAGAGGCAGTGGGGAGCAGAACAGCAGACTGATAAAGTACACTGCTGAGGGGAGCAGCAGGCGGGACAGGAGAGGTCTCCTGCACCATGTGGGTCCCCTCCCTGGCCTGGGATTGAGCTCACACCACTGTGGCTGGTGATAGATAGCTTGATAGCACTGCGACTTTAACCCCTGCACCACTTTAACCCCTGCACCATCAGCCCCTCTGCACCCAGAGTTATTGCTCCTCTCATCTGGTTTAGCTTCCAGTGCTGTATAAGAAAGGACTCCAAAACTTAGTGACTTAAAACAACAACAGTCACTTACTGCCTCTCCTTGTTTCTAAGGGCCGGGAGTTTGGAGTAGCTCAGTTGCTTGTCTGTTTGAGGGTTGGTCTGCGACTGTGGTCACAGGGTCGTGTGGCTGGGGTCATCTGAAAGGTTCCCCTCTCTTTCATCAGCTTGGTCTGGTTGGTCCTCCCCCCCCCCCCCCCCCCCCCCCCCCGCCCACCGGCGCGCTTCCTAGCATGGGAGTTCCAGACCTAGCCAAACTTCTGTATGGCTCCTTGAGGCTCCCACCAAATATGTCTTTAACAGCGAAGAGCCAAACAGATACAGGATCCCCTTTTATGACCTAGTGGTGGGAGAATGCAGATACCAGGCCTGGTCATGCAAATGTGTACCCTGTTCAAAGGGAGATGCACAAGCTCCCCCTCTTTGTTGAACGTGCGTAGGCTGGGCTGTAGATTGATGCGGCCATCTTTGGAAGATACAGGCGGACACGCCAACTGGCCAGTCTTCAGTCCATCTGTCTAGCTATTCTGCTATCCATCCTTCGCGCCATTTCATCTTTCTATCCTCAGATGCTTGTGCTTTCTTAGGGTCTGTCTGTTCTCTGTTCTTCCCATCCATCTGTCCCATTCAAACGTTTGACACCTGGAAAGTACCAGGGACAGCTAAATGCTCTTTTTTTTAAAAAAGATTTATTTATTTATTTATGCATACAGAACTGGGCTACAGGCCAGAGGTGCCGGGGCAGTGAGAGGCTTCACCAGAGACAAAGTGGGGAGAAGAGCAGGCAGACTGATGAAGTACACTGCTGAGAGGAGCAGCGGGCGGGTCAGGAGAGGTCTGCTGAGCCATGTGGTCACCTCCGAGACTGGGGACTGAACTTGTGCTGAAGTGGCTTTAGCTTCTCAGTGCTGTGCTTTTAGCCTGCTGCTAAATGCTCTTAATAATGAATTCAAGGAGAAGATGAGACTAATACTTATTGAGAACCTATTCAGTATTAGTCTCTGTCTTCTGACTAACTCTATGTGCAGAATCATCACAGGTGAGGAAATCAGGATACAAAGAAGCAAAATAGTTGGCCCCCGAGTCGTTCAGCAAATCATGGTTAGCCAGAAGGAAGTGTCAAACAGAACCCAGGATTCCTGGACCACCTTGCCTCAGGGGGTCCCTTTCATTCTTCTGAATGTGAATGGTCTAAGAGTTGGTTCTCCAGTTCTTTATTTCTTTCTCAAGTGAAAATAGGTTTTTTTTTTTTTTTTACTCTGGCTGTAGAAATAATGTCTATTATAGAAACATTCAAGAAGTACAGAAAAATATGATTATTCTTTTAAAAAATCACCCACAGTCCTACCAGCTAGAGATAACCACTGTTCACATTTTGATGAGCATTATTCAAGTCATCTCTCTGTGTATTTAAATACATATGATTATAGTTTTATACAAATGGGATTATATTCTACATGCTGTTCTGTAGCCTGCTTTCTTCTGTTTCTTAAATCTGCTGGATATCTTCATCAATACATATATGTATTTATGTGTGTGTATATCTTCATTATTATTTTATTGATTACATTGTGTTTCAACTGGATATATATCTCCAAACTGAAAGCTGTTAGATTTGTTTTCTTTTTTTTTTTCTTTACTTGTGATTTTTCCTACTTGAATGGTAATCTCCTTAGCATCACCCTCTAAAAGGCTGATTGCTGAATCCCAACGTATTGGCATTCTGTGTCAGATGGAAATTGCCAAGTTCCCAGAGAGGTGGTCTCACTGGCCTTTCTTCTGGAGATGACAAGTGTCCCTTTCGGGCATTGTGGCCCCACCTTGTATTACCCTCACCAGTATCTTCTGTTGTTGGTGGCTGATGGGCAAACTGATGAGGTTGAACATCTCTTGGTATACTTTTTGTAGCCACTTGCATTTCTGCTTTTCTGAATTTCCTGTTCAAGCATTTTGCTCATTTTGGGGGTGATTGTCTTTTCTCATATGTACAGGCACACATACACACACACGTGTGTGTGTATATTTATAGGTATAAACTGGATTTTAGAGATAACATTCTGCCATTTAAATTCCAAATATTTTTCTAGACTTCGAATTATTAGGTAGGCTCAACAGAATTTTGTTAATTGTGGGGCCCTCCTTGGGGGCATGGCAGTTAAAGCACACCCTAGGAAGCTATCCGCAGGAGCTTCAACTCAAGTTTGATCCCTGGCCAGGGAGCTGACCCACATGGCGCAGCAGACCTCTCTTGACCCGCCCGCTGCTCCCCTCAACAGTGTTCTTCATTGATCTGCCTGTTCTGCTCCCTACTCAGTCTCTGGTGAATCCTCTCACTGCCCCTGCACCTCTGGCCTGTACCCCCATTCTGTATGCATAAATAAATAAATGGTAAAAAAAGAATTTTGTTAGTGTTTATATTTTTGTGTTTTGGATCTGTCTGTATTTTCCTGGTGTCACTCTTATCCTTTTACATGTAAGGCAAAGGCTGGCTATAGAATGGGAAAATATTTGCATATCTGATGTCTGAGAAGGGGTTACTTTTCAGAATGTACAAAGTACTCCCGCAACTCACCAAAACAGCATAATAATCCAATTTTTTAAAAAAAAATTGGTGAACAACTTGAATAGATATTTCTCCAAAGAAGACAGGATGACCAACAGTCATGAAAACATGCTCAGTGTCACTAACCCATAGAGAAGTGCAATTTTTAAAAAGTTTTCATTTATTTATGCACATAGAACTGGGGTGCAGGCCAGAGGTGCAGACACTTCACCAGAGACAGAGTGGGGAGCAGAACAGGCACACGGTGGAAGTACATTGCTGAGGGGAGCAGTGGGCGGGTCAGGAGAGGTCTGCCACACCATGTGGTCACCTCCGGGGCAGGCGGGAATCGAACTCATGCGGAAGCGGCTTTAGATTCTCAGTGCTGTGCTTTAACCCGCTGCGCCACCAGGGAGGGCCTAATATGACTGTTTTCTAAAAATCAAAGGAAGCCTTGGTGAGGCTGTGGAGAAATTGTAAACCTTTGCATGTGGTTGGTGCAGCTGCCATGGAAAAGAGTGTGGCAGTTCTTCAAAAAATTAAAATTAAGTACCATGGGCCCTCGCAGTCCTTCTGAGTATATTACCCAAAAGAATCCAAGTCAGGATCGCCAAGAGATATTTGTATACACATGTTCATACAGCATTAATCTCAATAGCCAAGAGGTGTAAGAAACTCTTCTGTCCATTGATGGATGAATGGATAAACAGAATGTGATTTATGCCTAAAATGAAATATTATTTAGCCTTCAAAGAGACGGAGGTTCTGTTACATGCTTCAGCATGGGTAAACCTGGAGGATATTAAGTGAAGTGAAATAAGCCAGTCTCAAAAAAAGACAGATACATGTGATTCCACTCAGATGAGGTATCAGAATAGCTGAACTCATTGAAACAGAAAGAGAAATCAAGGGTGGTTGCCAGGGAGTGGGGAAGGAGGAATGGAGAGATAGTGTTCCATGGGTTTTGCAAGATGAAGAAGTTCTAGAAATTCTTGCACAACACTGTGAAAATACTTAGCACTGCTGAACTGTACACTTAAAAAGATGGCCAAGAAATCAACAGTTTGTCTTCTAGGAACACACGTACAGAGTGAAGATGTGCACGAGTGACCGTAATAGAATTGTTTATACTATTAAATAAAAAAAGAATTTGTAGAAATACTCATCCTCATTTCTGCGATTATTTTCTATAGACGTGTTCTTACATTGAAGTTTATCCATGTGGAATGTGTTTGCTTTAGAGGAGGGCCATCGGATCAGGCTCTGTTGTTCCCCAGATGGTGAGTTACGTATTGGAACACCAGTAATTGAATGATCCATCTTTTCTTCCCTTCTTTGAATTGCCGTCTTTCTGCATATTAAATACCCATCTATTTAGGCCTGTCTCAGGACACTTAATGCTCTTAGTGTACAGGGATAACTGTTTTAACTTGAAATCAACGAGCACTAGTAGGGTGTGTTAGGAACATATCTGTAAGTGACCTGTGCCTGTCACCAGGTTGGGACACCCTTTTTTGGGGGACTCCTTCACTAGACAGACTCCTTCTACTGCAGTACCATTCTAGAAACAGAAACGGAGGTTCGGCGAGGTTAAGTAATGTGTGAGGTTAGCTCACTGGCGTTTTGTCCACCACAGCCATGAAATGGCAGAGCAAAGATTGAGCTTCACCAGCAAAGCTTATGAAATGCCTTTGAGGACATGCGGTGGCTTGTGAAACACCAACTGTCCCTCCCTGCCCAGACAAACTTGAGCCCATGGTGCCTGGCACAGAGTGCGGCTGGCAGGTGCTTGTTGAGTGAGATGGATGTTGTGGCCGTGGCTTATCTGAAACGTTTCCCTGCCCCCTGTTAGGTATACGCTAACTTTTGTTTTATTTAATTTTAAAAAAAGATTTATGTACTTATGCATACAAGAACTGAGGTATAGGCCAGAGGTGCAGAGCCAAATACACTGCTGAGGGGAGCAGAGGGCTGGTCAGGAGAGGTCTGCTTTGTTGTGTGAGTCAGCTCCCTGGCCAGGGTTGAACTCGTGGCTGCAGATAGCTTCATAGTGCTGAGACTTAACCCCCTGCACCACCAGGAAGGGCCTGCTAACGTTTGTTTTAATCAGTTAATTTTTAAGTAATTAAAATAACCTAATGATTATACAAAGAAATCAGAAAATATGGGCATAAAAAGATTGTGCTGAATAAATTTCAGCCTCCTTATGTTCACTATGAAAATTCTGGTGCATTTTCTTCTTGCTATTTGTAGTCATGTTTTTATTATTTGAATTGTAATATATGAGAGTTTTGCTCCCCGCCTGTCCTTTGGTTTAGTTTCCTTATCTTTTCATAGCTTTTAAGACTGCATAATATTCACAACAGAGAACGAACATAGTTATTTAATGCATATGCCACTGCGGTTGTAGCTTGGTTCTCATTTTTTTCTTTTATAAAGTTATACTGTAATGAACATTTTTCACATTAAGTATTCTGATATGTTATATCCATCACCTTTGGATATATTCTCAGAGAGGCTACTGGGCAAGAATAGCTATAATTATTTTAACATATTTTTATATATCCTGCCTCTTTGAATGTTTTTTGGTAAGAGGCTTTGGGAGTCTATGCTGATTTGAAAAATAAATATGGTAAATCCTTTTAAAAAGATTTTAATGTCTCAATGATTTTAAAATTATTATGAGAGGCATTCGTTTTCAACAAGGAGACTTAGGACATATATGTTAAAGAGAAAAAACTACAAATGTCACATCCCTCTGCTAGTTTATTGCTTCCTTGTGTTATTTATATAAATATCTTTCAGTAAATTATTCTCAATTTCATTTATTAGCTAGAATTTTCAAATAACTTGTTTTGCAGTGTTATTTTCACTCAGAAACATTGCTTGTCCAGAACATGAGATGATGACCTTTTTCTGCCCTGCTTTGCAAAATTGTCATGAGGATAAAAAATCATTCACCCTTACTATGAAGGGATTGAATTTTTCAGCTGACTAAGTGGTTTCACTATGATGTGGTGGGTTGTCATGAATTCATTGGATAGGTCATGGATGCAAAGAGATACAGAGATTGATTAGTGATGTCTGCCACTGGCAAGGCAAGGTAGCGGTGATACAGCTCACATTTGCTGCTTCTGGGCTGGAGTGCTTTGAGGGCTCTACCTAATCTAAGAAGGGAAAGATGTATATATTAATATCTTAAAATCACAGCAACTAAAGGAGAGTGGAACTTGAATAGGCATGGACAGACAAATGAAATAGGTTACATTCAGAAACAGAACCAACAGTGTACTGACTTTAGTTCTAGTACCACCCTCATTTGGTTAATGTTACTTTCAAAATGTTTAAATGCTTGATAAACATCTCTCTTAATTATTGTTTTCACTTATTTCATTAGTTTCACATAATTTTCTACCAGTTAACTTAGAATCCCTTTTCAGGGTAAAAATTGCCATGTGATGGTACTTGTGTATTTTGGGACTGAATTGAGTAGGAAGGACATTCTCACAGTAATATGTATTTCTGGTGTGTCTTTGTACACATTTGTGCTCCATTATTTGACCCATGGTAAAGGTTTGTAATGTTCAAGTTAAGTTTTGGCTATTTATTTTAAGTGTATTTCTAAGTACTTGATGTTTTTGAAATGGGGTCATTTTCTTCTTTTGTATATATTACTTAATTAACACAAGTTGGTGGAAAAGCTACTGGTTTTGGATTGTTTTTGTAAGAGGATCTTTTTCTATAGTTTTAGTTGCAGGAGTTTCTTGTGGTGTCTAGCTAGATTGTAACATAGAAAAATAGCCATTTCCCTTCTCTTAACAGTATTGCCCTTTTCCCTCCCTTACATTGACTAGACATTCTGGAAATTTCAATTAATCTGTATCTGTAGCCTTGGATAACCTGTATCCTTGTACTAATTTTTATTTTAGCGGTAAGGATTCTAGTGGGAAGGATTCTAGTGTTTTGTAATCAAGTGTAAAGTTCTGTTTTGGTTTCTGATATTCTTTATCACCATGTAAGCATCTTTTCTGAATTGCTAAGGTTTTTTTAAATTTAATTTTATCAAGATGGCAATGAGTGGTATGAGTTAGGAGTGAATTCCACTTTTTTGTATTGGAATTTTTTGTTTGCAGTGAAGTGTGAATCGTCCCCTCCCCCACCATGAAGCTATTTAGTAATAAGGATAAGAAAGATGATGAATTTTTAACAAATGCCTTTTCATTATGTATCCAGATGGCCATATGGTTTTCTTACTTTGATCTGCTGATGTGGTGATTTATATTAATAGATTTTGTAATATCAAACTATACTAGAGGAACCCGTTTTGTTCATGTTGTGTGTTTACTATATCCTGAGTCCATTTGCAGTATTCTAGATCTGTGTTAGTGAGGCTTGCTTGCTGTCTTACTCCTCGTGTTCTGTTTTTGTCATTGTTAATGGGAGTTATGCTAGTGTGGTGGGTGAGAAATGGAGCAGCTTTCCATCATTTCCAGTGATCTGGAACAAGGAGGATAAATATATTTTAAGTTGTGTACCTATTGGTAGTGGCTGCTGAGATTGTTGTGTTGAGAAGGATTCTGAGGACTTGTCATGTGTAAAGAATTTGGTATTTTGTTAAGAGTGTAGGAAATGAGAGTGTAAGCATGCATGCCAGATGTTTGCTCGTAGTCCCTGCCTGCAGTGATTTATATTATATGGGAATTATCTGTCTTCTGAAAGTTTAAAAGGACTTGCCTTTAAAATTATTTTGTTAGGTTTTTGGAGATAATTAATTTCCACTGTAATGCTCTTTTCATTAACTTTTTGGCTTTTTTTGATTGAAATAGTTTTGGTACTTTATGTTTTCTTAGAAATTTGCTCATTTCATTAAGAATTTGAGCCATGTTTGCATAGAACAGGATGTATGATTTTTTTTAAGTTCTAATCTGATTTTTAATTTTTTTAGCTGTAATTTTCCCTCTCCATTTCCTTTTTGTTGTTGTTGATGAATACTGTTATCCAGACCTATGTTATCCAGACCTATTGCTTTTGCACTCCATTTGTTATATTTTTAAAGTTACTTTTTATTCTAACTATATAAATTGTCTCAATTATTATGTTTGTGTTAAAGTAGTCCATCCTTCTTTCTTTATTTTGTATTGAACCCATAGTTCTTTTTTTTTTATTTTGTTTTGTAATAAAAATGCACAATCCTGAATTTTTCTCGGAGTACATTTTGGTCACATCTCATAAGCCTTACTACGAAGTATTGTTTGTTACTATTTTCTCTCCACAGTTTTTAGTTTTGATGTTCTTCTTAGCCTAAACATTATTTAAAAGTATAATTTTTTGTGTGATTCCTTTTTTAATTAGTGCTTATTTTTATGCATTTTTAGTTTATTGTGAGAGAATGTCGCCAGATAGAGTTTTGTTTTATGTAATTTATAGGAATGATTGGATTTCTTTTTAAACATTAGTTTGTATAAATGTTTCATATGCTTGCATAAGAAATAATTTCTGTTTTTTAGGGCTTATTGTTTGCTGTATTCATATATATATATCTTGATTCCATATATTATTGGCATTAATAATATTTTCCAGATTTCCCTATACAGTCCTAATCATTAAGTTTCCAAGACATTGAGAGTCTATTAATATCTTTCAATTCTATAATGTTGCTTTTGATTTTTACCTTTTGCTTTACATATTTTACTTCATATATTTTATTGCTTGCATATTTCACAGAAATATACCTGGCTGCTAGATTTTATTGTGTGTTGTGTCCTTAATCTATGAAAATAGGCCCTTTTTGACCTGTTTTATGTTTTCTGCTCTCTGGTCTAGATTTTTAAATTTTTATAGTGCATTTGCTGCTTTCATCTTTAATTCTGTGTGTGTTGTGGAACACGTACTGCTTTTCGTTGTTGTTGCCATCTACCTGCTACAGTTTTACATGTTTATTTTACTCTTAACCCTTCTATTCCTTTTTTCTTTTTTTAACACTGACTCTTTGGGGTAGCATGTCATTTATATTTAAAATCTCAGAGCCTGAGTCTGTCTTTTAATATACACGTACAGCCCTATTTATTATAATACCTAATATGTTTTGTGAATTCTTACATCTAATTCTGGTTTTCTTTTCAAACTATTTGTATAACTAAGTAGATAGTTTTGATTTATTTTTATGTAAATGGCAGCTTGGGTGACTGGAGTATTTCGGGTTCTGTGTTTTTTTTTCAGTACTTTGTTGATGTTCTGTAGTTTTATTTTACTATTGCAGAAGAGAATGCAGAGAAGGGAA